GTGAGAAGAGCAACGGCCATGTACAGCATTGTCTGCAACATGCCGATGATGACCGTAAAACGCCGGACAAACGAGGAATCAAATCTCATCTCGAGATATTCGTAGATGCTGGTCAGGTGTAGGGGGTAGATGAGGGGGACCATGGTGACGACCCCCAGCAAGTAGCCGATGGCGAATCCCAGCTGGAAGATGGAGATCATGGGACCGTTGAAGTAGACATCCGTGGGCACACCAACTAGGGAAATGGCCGACTGAAAGAACAAATATTTTATTTAAATCCTCTCTAGTACAATGTTCCTCTACTTACTACGATTCCTCTCAACTTACTTCAAGAAATCTCCTCTACTTACTGCGAATGTGACAAAAATGGAGATAGCCACAGGTAACATGGACATCTGCCTCCCTCCCAGCAGATATTGATCCCGTGTCGCCTTGTTGTAGTCCTTAACTGCATAGAAAATACCAATGGCTAGCGGCACCACCAACATCAGGGTTGTCACCACGTAGTCCGCGGTCTGTAAACTCACGTTGTGGTCCATTGAGAAAATCTAAACTTTGAAGTGAATAAACTCTCGCTAAGAACAGTTTATATAGATTTGCACTAAGGTACATATTATGAATCTCTATTTTTACTTCTATAAAATAAAAGACTCGAGTTTATTTTTACATAGATAAGCTGGGTACGTTTATATTGTTTTAGACATGTTTATAGCTGGAACTAATTTAATTAGTGTGATAAATGCATGGAAGTGGTTATAAGTGTATCGAGAAAAAGTGGATAAACATGTAATCATTTCGTGTGTTTATAAACAAGCCGGTGAAAATAACAGCGAACATTTTTTTAGGACAAGATTTGTAGTAAAGCAAACATTATACAGTCGTGACCTAATTATCTGGTGTGTATGTCAATGGAACATTTAAAAATAGATACGTATTCTAATATTTAGAATAATACATACTTTGTCGCTCGTTAAATTCTTAGGTGTTAATGTAATTATTACATCTCCTATACATCAGACAAAAAAGATACCACTTTATTTGAACTTCCTTTCTGCGTTAGTACACTCCTGTAAACCGGACTCCTACAATCACAGCTTCTAAAATTATTTCAATCAACAAAAACTCCTAAAGTTATGGTTTATTCTTTTACGGTATCTCCTTTATCTAGTACGAGCCGACCCGCGGCGCATCATACGCCGCTATTTAATTGTTTTATTTTCTACTTTTAAGTAATTCATAATTTGTGAATTCGACAGTACCAACGCTGCCACTGAAAATGTTTGCTTTAAAACACTATCAGTAGCTCGTTAAGGACGATAACCCCCCCCCCCCCTTCTTTCCCCATCCCCACCCTCACCCCCCCCCCCCCACCCCCCACTTGAAAGTTAATTCCTCTTAGTTACCTCCCCTAAGTTTAAAATCGTTTCAAACTAAATTATCTACCCCTAATAGCCGTCATTAAACCCGGCTCTACGATTGTAAACAGCGTGAACCACAGCTCACCAGACCATGTAGCCAAGAGACTTTGGGGGAGTTGATTAGAACAATTCAGGGAAGCGTTCTGTAAAAAACAAATCCTTTTTTAATTTCGCAAGGGCGACGCCACGGGAGGCTGCGATTTTTCTCTATATACGGTTTATAAAAATAAAAGTCAATTTCGTTTTCACCGTTCATCCGTGTACCATGAAACTTTGGGGAGATAATTAGACAACTCAATGGTAGGGTTCTGCAAAAAAAAAATATTGTTTAATCTTGCAAGGGCGTCGCCCCCCAAGGAGGGGGGCGACTTTTTTTTCTATACACGGTATATAAAAAATAAAACTCGGATGCGGTTCATCCGAGTGCCATCAAACTATAGGAAGTAGATGAGAATACTCCCGAGAATATTTCTGCGAAAAAGAAAACTAAAGTTTATTATGGGCGGCGCCATATAGGGTACAACTTTCGTTAATACATGGTTTGGCGCCCAGAGTTTTAGAGCGACTATGTTGGCACTTGGCACCCTTTAATCGAGCGTCCTGCATAGCGAGTAAGGGGTACTACTATATTCGGCGGTAAAACTACAACAGGCTTCTAAAATAACTTTGTAACGCGAGGAAATCCTTCTGTACAGTTTCGTCACCATGCCAAAGATGAAAAAATAACTTTTTGAATATGAGGAGCGTACTGTAGAGTTTCGTCACTTTGCGAATGATGCAACAAGCATCTATTATTCGACAATCCAGTCAGAAATCGAGATCGAGCATCTAATAATAGACCATTGGTAACGCTAGCATATTGCATCAGTCACACTGATGTTTAAAACACGTCAAATACTTTTTTTACGTGTTAAAGAAAAAATCCTGTTCATTTGTGTCACTTTAGCGAATAACGAAATCTGCATCATTATAAACAGGATGCTATTTGACACGATGGCGCCTGTTAGTTTTAAGGAGCCAGGGGTCTTACGCCGCTTCTATGTGGTAGTGTAATCGGGTGGGGGGGTGGGGCCCTGATAGCGCCCCTCTACGTCTCTGACACATGAGCGGTCACCAAAGTGTGTTCTACGATATTATTTCGGTAAGTGATTAATGTACACTCAAGGTTTTCATGCGGTAGTGTAGGTAAAACCGTGTCCCGATATTTATGATCCAAGCGCAGGCATTGTTTACATTTAAATTACTCACTTTTAGAAAAGACGGTCATGCGTCAAAGAACAGATGATTGGTAACGCGTTGTTGAAATCCTTCTAATACATTTCGTCAAACTTTCTTCTATCCCCGCTGCAACGCGCGGGGGACGGGTACGCTAGTAATATATATATATATATATATATATATATATATATATATATATATATATATATATGTATATATATATATATATGTATATATATATATATATATATGGTTTTATTGGATGTTTTGTGGCCTTCATCTCTGGTGCTCTCATTAGAATTACGACCACACCAAGACAGACCCACGTCTGATTATACCAATTATTGGTTACCTAACTCAGGGTAAGTAAAGGCGTATGGGCATAGTGCTGACTGCATTGTCGTCATATGCAAAGGCAATTGAAACAGGTGAACTGTAATTGCATTTAATACTACATGGAGAGTGATACAAAGACTCACACAAAACTAAGAAGGATTACCACCAACACAGTTTATTTGATGTTGTATAAAATCCGTCTATATAAAATTAAAATTGTCTTCATTATATTTGTAATGACAGTTTTAAGCGATGGCAGGTACTATGTTTTCTAAACAAAAATTTATTCTAACCATAAAACCCACTATAGGTGTATAAATAATAATTTTATATACTACTAGAGTACCCGTCCCCGCGCATTGACGCGGGAATAGAAGAAAGTCCGACGAAATATATAAGAAGGGTTTCATCCATGCGTTACCAATCCTATATTCTTAGACACGTGACCTTGTTTTCTAAAAGTGAGTTATTTAGACGTAAATAATGCCTGCGCTTGGATCATAAATATCAGTGCAACGGGTTTACCTACACTACCGCATGAAAACCTTGAGTGTACATAAATCACTTACCGAAATAATGAGGTATAACACACTTCGGTGACCGCCCATGTGTAAGGGACGTAGAGGAACGCTTTCAGGAGCCCCCCCCCCCCCCCGCTTACACTACCGCATAGGCTCCTTAAAACTAACAGGCGCCATCATGCTCATGGGATAACCCAGAGAGCCAAATAGCATCCTGTTAACTTTGATGCAGATTTCGTCATTTGCTAAAGTAACACATATGAACAGGGTTTTTTCTTTAACATGTAAAAAAATTATTTGACGTGTTTTAAACATCAGTGTGAGTGATGCAATATGTTAGCGTTACTAATTGTCTATTATTAGATGCTCGATCTCAAATTCTGATTGGATTGTCTAAAAATAGATGCTAATTGCATCATTCGCAAAGTGACGAAACTGTTTGGATTTTTTTACGGACAAAAAGAAACATCCTAGTTAATAATCTAACCTTGGTTAATTTCTGATTATTAAAAGAAAACGTATTACATGGCCCTTAGCGGCCCATGTGAGCCTTTGGGGGCCCAAACAGAAAATTTTATTTACAGCCAAATCGCACCCTACCAGGGCGCTTATTCAACTTAGCGAGCGTTTGTAATGCCCCATCCTATCCATTGTCTGTCGCATTGTTTAGACCCAACGTAGTCGCTATAGCGCTTACTGGAAAGACCAGGGCGCCAAATCGCATCCTGCCGGGCGAACGCCTATGCAAAATTAAATTCCCGCTCCCCCCACCCAACCCCATATCCCCTCCCACCCCAGAAAACTTCTCGGGAGTATTCATCAACTCCCTAAAGTTTTATGGCACCCGGATAAACTGTGTCTAACCGCAATATTCTTTTATGTTTATATACCGTCTATAGGGAAAAATCACACCATCCCATGGCGCCACCCTTGCGAAATTGAAAAATGTTTTTTTACAGAAACCTCACCTGAAGTGTTCTAATTAACTCCCCAAAGTTTGATGGCGATCGAATGAACGGTGTAAAACTGCAATCGACTTTTATTTTTATATATGTAAATAAAGAAGAAAAAAAATCGCGCCCTGCTGGGGCGCCACCCCTGCGAATTTGAAATTTTTTTCCCGCAGAAACCTCCCCGGGAATATTCTTTACAACTTCCCAAAGTTTCTTGGCAATCGGATAAAAGTTGTAGTAATGCATAAAAGCTGACAGACAGACATACATTGCTTTTTATATATATAGATTTTTTAAGATTTTTTTTTTGTTCTAGAATTTTAATGAACAAACGGGAAACAACCAAGTTAATACACGAATAACAATAACGAAATATTTTATTTTATCATTCGTTTTTAAGTAAAGTTCATTTTGCTTTCGTAAACCATTCAAATATTTTAACGTAAATTTTAAATAAAATAACACTCTCATAATATAAATGCAATTTAATTTTCTTTTATTTTGGAATAATGTTTTAAAATCTCTGGAAGTTCATATTTAGTTTCCTTCGACCACTGGGTACGTAAGACACACATTACTAATACGTTTAAATCCTTATCAGCATCTTGCTTGTTAATTAGTACCTAAATTAATTGATAGTTTTGTTTCTTTGTAGTTCTCCAACAATTTTTTCGGAACTTTTTTCTTTTCTACAACTTGAAAATTTTCCTCGTCTGTTTCTTTTCTATGGATTTTAGGTAAATTCCAGAATTTTCTAACAAACGGAAAAATTAGTTCCCGATTGATCTGATTTTGAACGTAATGTCTTGTACAATAACTGATAACCAATCCAGAACAATAAGTTATAATTATGCCTATAACGCCGTACCATTCATAAGATAAGTTGTAAATGAAATGAAGAAAAACGTTGGTTTCCGAAATATCAAAATCTGTAACATTCTTAGTGAAATTTTTATTGTCATTAATACCAAAATCAGTGATGTTTTGGGTACCATTCGACAGTGTAAACATATTGTTAAAATAGGGGTATATATTTGTCAGTGAAGTACTATTCATGATATTTGTTGTAATGTTATGCAGCGTAGTAATATTCTGGAAACACATTTCAGTCGAAGCTGATGGGAGTGCAGCGGCTTTACGGCCGTACAAGAGGTTTGCAAGAGAGATCCAGATGTTGACAGTGATGCCGATAACACCTCCAGACAAGGTTCCGTACTTGTTAGCCCAAGGCACTGTTGCACCGAGTAGGAATATGCCTACTATGGGACTAGAACATGCACCAGATACGGTCATTGCTGTCTGAGCGATGGAACCTTTAACCTGGTCGGCTAAGTATGCCAAGCCTATAATTATAACCCCGTACACACAGGCGATAATCTTGGTGATCATTGTGGCCTTGCTTTCTGAGAACCGTTCTAGTGGTTTTTTCAAAATGTCTTCCACTGTAACAGCTGCCAATGTATTGATACCTTAAACAATGGAAATAAAAATGTTAGATGTACATCATCTGTGTATACGAGCACATGTGTATCTAGAAAAAGTATTGAGGCTACATCTATCAACTAACCTGAAGACAAAGTACTAAGACAGCCACTGAACAGTGTTGACATGTAAATTCCAGCCATGCCCGGAAGATCTTGAAGCGAATGCAGAACAAAATATGCAGGAATCCGATTCTTGTTTGTTATTAATCCAGCCTGTTTAGAGTAGAAGCATTTTTAGTCATTGACATGTGTGGTCTTTTATGACTGTTATAATAATACTTTTGGATGAGAATGTTACTTCATCAAATAACTACATTTGTAAATGTGCTATGTTTACTAAACATTTTAAAAGATAATTTTTTTTAAATTATAATAAGTTGAACTGTGGTATTTTATCAAGAACGTATGATTTTTCTTTTCATTACTTCTTGAAATAATAAAATATGCAACTTATTTTTATGATCAAAGGATAACACATACTGCAGCTTCTTCTTCTTCTTCGTTCTTAATTTTTAGTGTTGGGAGGGATCGAACCTTATCTGCCAGAGATAAGGCTCGATCCCTCTGCAGCGAAATGTACCGTACAATTTTAAGAGTGAACTTGACTCTTTACATAGCTCAATAGAAACTTACTTTGGTATTGACATGGACTTAAGGATACAAACCAAAAGAAAAGTTAACTAGTTAGTATACAAAAACTATTATTATTTTTTAATATTTGGAATTTGGTGCGTAAATATTTCTTGTCGCAATAATTCAGTGTACGAAGTTTCCATGCGCATGGTGTACCCAGCAGTTTTGTCGCAGATTTGCTGGTCACTCTGTATACTAACCTCGTACGGGTCACATTGGATGTGAGAGAAGTACGAAAAGATTACGATGCCAACTAGCAACAGCAGCACGCCGTACACAACAGTTACAATCGCATTAATGATCAGAGATATTCTGGCTGCGGTCATCGTTTTCACGGAACAGACTCGCTGTGTAGTGGACTGGTTGAATATGTTACCGAGCCTGCAAACGAAGTTTGTAGTTGTTTTTATAAACTGAACAATAGCTGATTGTTTAAAAAAATAGATGCCATTTTTAGAGCAAATATTATGACGTTATCATTTTCTATTGTAATCATCTACAGAATGGTTTACAGTAAATTTTAACTTACACCTAAAACTAAAACACAACTGTGTTAAATATCACATATACTCTTCGCAAAATAACTTGCAATATATGACACTTATTTCAAAATAGTAATAATTTATGCTCTTTGAACCATATATATATATATATATATATATATATATATATATATATATATATATATATATATATATATATATATATATATATACACTTAATAATACATAGTAGTGCCCTACATTCCACCTGCAATGCTGCAACTATAGTTGTACCCACCCCTCCCTCTACCACATAAAATCTCCGCGTTTATTTGTACCCACCCTCCACCTACCACATAAATGCTCCACCGATAGTTGTCCCCCACCAGGTATGTCTAGTCCTAGGGTCGGGACTGAATGCCATGAACGATGTCCGTCCACCATCTTTGGCAATCTGTAAAGTCACGTCAACACCGCCAACCAACATCACGCCTTGAACACAAACACAATTTCTGAATGTTTGTGTTTTTAGACGATTTATTTTTATTAAGAGCAACTCTCCATCCACTTTTATAGCATTTATTTATTAAGTGTAACCAAGATATCAATTAATTGCTTCAAAGTGAGTTACATAATATGCAATTGAAAACATATTAGTCATTAAAGAAAATTTATTTTGAAAAAACTAATAATATACGAAAAAGAAATATATTGAAAACAAACTATTGATTCGTGATATGAATTATTTATAGACGTAATAGCTACCTATTAATTTCAGAATTATTCGAAACTTAACTAAGATTTTATAAATGAAGACCATACTTTCTTGGATAAAGAAACATACGTCTAATGCTTAAATAGACCAACCTTTAATGAGCATGATGAAGATCCCAGCGTACATGACGACACACTGAAAGACGTCCGTCCACACGACACTCTTGATACCCCCCAATGTGGTGTACACAGTGCCGGTCACACCAACAATCAGGACTGACACCTCAAGTGGGATCCCTGCAGCTGTCTGGAATCATATACAAATAATCATAAAATCAACACAGAGGCAAAGTAATGCATCTTGAAAAACAATTAGTGACAAAGACAAAAACAGTTAAATCTTCTATTTATCAATTATAATTTTTTCTGGTTATCGGATATTGTTAGGGTCCCACTAAGACCATGTCATCACGAAAGTGAATGAAATATGCACAATGACAAAAAATGGAATACATACCTGCAGTGCAAGGGCTGGTGTAAGAAGCGCCATGGCCATGTACAACATTGTCTGCAACATGCCGATGATGACCGTAAAACGCCGGACAAACGAGGAATCAAATCTCATCTCGAGATATTCGTAGATGCTGGTCAGGTGTAGGGGGTAGATGAGGGGGACCATGGTGACGACCCCCAGCAAGTAGCCGATGGCGAATCCCAGTTGGAAGATGGGGATCATGGGACCGTGGAAGTAAACATCAGCGGGGACACCAACTAGGGATATGGCCGACTGAAAGAGAAAATTTTTTGTTTACGTTCATGGGACCGTAGAAATAGATAACAAATATTAACACAAACATTGTTTTTTCAGTATGAATGTTTCGTTGTGTATTACGATTACATGTATCTACTGTAGTTACCTCACTTAATGATAAATTACCCTCTATTTATTGCTACAGTTACTGTATACTTACTGCTACGATTGCCCTGTACTACTACGATTCATCTCTACTTATAGCTACAATTACTATCTACTTACCACTCCGATTTGCCTTACTACTACGATTCCTCTCTATGCTACAATAACCCTCAAATTACTGCTACATTTTACTAACGTGTACTTACTGCGAACGTGACAAAAATCGAGATGGCCACAGGTAACATGGACATCTGCCTCCCTCCCAGCAGGTATTGATCCCGTGTCGCCTTGTTGTAGTCCTTAACTGCATAGAAAATGCCAATGGCTAGCGGCACCACCAACATCAGCGTTGTCACCACGTAGTCCGCGGTCTGTAAACTCACGTTGTGGTCCATTGAGAAAATCTAAATGCTTATGAGAATAAATTGTAGGTCTACTTGGAAAAGATTGTATAGTTTTTCAATAACAATGGTGTGTATGTTTAAGGTACACTCAGCACGGGTCATACTTTATAAAAAGTAAGACATGCAATTTTACAAAGATAAGCTGGAAACGTTGATATTGTTTTAGACATGCTTAAAGCTAGAACAAATTTAATTGGTGTGAAAAATGCATGGAAGTGGTTATAAGTGTATCGAGACTATGCAGATTAACATATAAGCATGTGTAAGCAGTTGTGAATCTGAGTACAAAATGGGTAGGTTTAAACAGTGCAGTATCGTTACCTAATTCTACGATTTGTTTGTGAAATGAACATAAAAGAAGGAAGAAAACAAATACATATCTATTTGTATATATACATATATACTGACGATAGTTAAATATGTAGGTGTTAATATAATTATTATTACAACTGTTTAATATACCAAACAAAATAGGTTCCACTTCATCTAGACTTCATTCCCGAATACGAATCCCTGGCAGATTGCTGAGGACAGCAACTCATATAGGAGACACCTCTAAAATCAAACGAACTCCGCCTTTCAGTCTGTTCATGGTTGGGCATGGGCCATGGAAACAAATCCAAAGAGAAAAGTGGGTGCAACTGGGAGTCCTTGACCTATATGGCCATAGATCACTATTGTGTACTTTTTATCATGTAAACCATTGTTCTAACTTTTATTGTTTTACTCTCCGCCGCTTTTCAACGGATTATATTCGATATAAAAATATAAATTTGAGTTTAATCGATGGTTTCCAAACGGCTTTAATTTTTAAAAATGTAATTATAATTTTATCGCTTGACATATTTTTAAAAGATTTTTTTTTTAAATTTAGTATGATTACATAGACTGTTCATGCCTATTCTTTGTCGTACCATATTCTATTTTAAATTTTTTTAGTAATTAACAATGGATTAAAATTATGTCGATATCACGAGTTGCATTCACCCTATTGTTATATGATAATACTATTCGAGAAAGTTTATGGGAGATCACTCCCGCATTATTTTATTTGTGATTGTTATGTCACTTGTGAGTATAATAAAAGCCTTTTTTCCTTACAATGTGTAAATGTTTATTAAAAGCTTTAATTAACTTGCTTCCTCTGTCTGCCTTTCTATCTCTCTGGGTCGACATAGACAACGGAAATTCTGAAATTTAGCACGTAGTATAGTATATACACTAGTATAGTATAGGTTAGGTTAAAATATTACACATTTGCGATGAAGTGGAGGTTTTCACTATTTGCACGCACATCAAAAATCATTTACAGATAAACAGAGCCAATTTGAGCTTTAAAGGATATATATACATATATATATATATCTATATATATATATATATATATATATATGTGTGTGTGTGTCTGTGTGTGTCCGTGCGTGTATATTATATTATATTATATATATATATGTATTTTATATATATATATATATATATATATATATATATATATATATATATATATATTATATTATATATATATATATATATATATGTGTGTGTGTGTGTGTGTGTGTGTTTCTTCATTACAATTTGTATCGTGTGATTGTTTCTAGGCGACATTTGAGTTTTTTAATAAATCTGAAAAATAGTATAGGAATTTATATAATAAGCCTCAACGTTGTTTAATTCGATAACTGAATGTAAAACAAAAAATAAATACGAATTTTTTAAGCCCATATGACATAATGTAACAAAAAATGAAAGAAAACAATACCTTATTAAATTATCAACATTACATTGTGAATGTAAATTATTACCAAAAGCATTCTTGTTTAGTAAATTATTTTTTGCAAGAGTAACTGTGTTATCATTATATGTATTAAAGTGTTCAGTGTCGTCAAAAATACAACTAAGATAAAATTCTTTTAACTAAACTGTTTATTTTTATACCGTACGAAAACTATTTTAAAACAGCAAGTCGGTTTATACTACTAAACTTTCGATTCAAGTCCAAATTTTAAAGTTTTGAAAAAGTTTAATCTGGCCAGTTTTTAACACGGTTTCCATCACTTAACGAAATTTTACATCGTCAGAGCAATTTAAAAGTTCGAGTTGACATTTCATCGTTGCTGAGCTTTCCTCTTGTTTAGCTTCTGGCTCAGTCAAAGACCACGCCTTACGAATTATTGGTATAATGAGGCGTGGGTCAGTCTTGGTGTGGTCGTACTTCTTAAAACAAAAGCTAATGAGAGCACCAGAGGTGAAGGCCACAAAACATCCAATAAAACCATACCAGATGTAGGATATATCGTACAAGAAGAAACCATAACTGTATGAGTCGTTGTCATTTGGGAATCGTTCAGCAGTTAGTATTGTAGAAGTAAGGTTTAGCAACATGGAGGAGTTCGTATAGCAGTTCTCTATAGATGGGGGTTGTAGTGGTCGAGTTTTCTTTCCGTACATCTGTCCTGTAATGGCCAACCACACGTTGAAAACAAGAGCCAGCCCACCTCCACCTAAGGCGCCGTACTTGTTGCTCCAGGGGATGCACGCCCCAAGTATAAACACCCCAAACACAGGACCCCCACAGGCTCCAAAAACTGACGAACTCATTTGTGTGACTGGACCATCTATGGAGTCAGCTACATAGGCAAGTCCAACAATGGCAAGTCTATACAAGCAGACCAGTACTTTTGTTAGTTGCGTGATACTGCTTTCTTTAAAACCACTTAGACATTTCGATAGAATATCTTCAACTGTGTTTGCCGCCAAAGCACTGATTCCTGCAGAAATAAAGCAAGAAATTTCATAAGGTGGATATCATTAACATACGCAATGAAGATGATCTTTTGGCTTTAGCAAGTGCATAATGGCACCATTGAGGCAGTAATTTATATTAAATGCAGTATGCTAGCCAACATTTTTGCTTTGTGTGGGCAGAGAACAATTGTAATTGTTTAGCTACTGGCTCAGGCAAAGACCACGCCTTACGAATTATTTGTACAATTGGTCAGTCTTGGTGTGGTCGTAGTTCTTAGAACAAACACTAATCACGTGCTATACTACTCTGCTACCCTTTCTAAGCAGACAAAGATGTGTTAGGTGTACGTTTCAAAATAAGGGCCAAAATGACGAAAGCATTTGCTTTCAAATGTAAGTCATAGCAGGTTATAATACGTTTAATAGCTTTTACATAAATTTCAACAGGCTGAAAATTTATTTAATAGTCTTTTTATTTCAGATACATTTTCAAGAAGAACCTGTGAGGGCGTCTGAATCTCAAAGAAAGCACAACACGATTGAGGCTATTACAGTATTCTTTATTTCTCTATCTCCCGTCCTCCAGTCCCAACATCAACCTCCTTGCTTCACACTCAACCTTCAACTGTCCTCCGCATTCATTCCTACACACCACCTTTCTCTCGCCCACAACACAGCCACTGTCACCCGACCAGTCGCTTCCCTTGTACCCTCGTTCACTCCGTACAACAACAAACACGTCAACACACCCGGCCTCGCGCCTCACTACATGATACATACACACACGCATTGAACCGTTCCACGTATTCACCTTTCATACACATTACATCACCACAGAACCAAAATACATTTTTGTCCCAAAACGCAAATATTTCAAAACATTTATATTAAGAACAAACCTGATGATATAGTACTGAGAGATCCACTGAACATCGTCCCCATGAAAAGACCGGCAAACCCAGGCATGTCTTGAAAAGCTTGCATGACGAAAAATGGACTCAGTTGGTTTCTGTTGGTAATTAGACCGCCCTGAAAGAAATAGTTTAAAGATAATATTTTCAATGAAATCCACACACAAAAAAATGAATCTGTTATTTTACATTCTGTCTATATTGAAAACATCAAATAATATTCTAAATTCATTTAGGAGTAAATAAATTGCAAATTAAGCGATGGCAGTGCCCTATATAAACAAAGATTCGAGATTATTTTTAAAAGACTTTATAAAACATTTAAATGAATCTAGTTATTTTTACTACACTAATTTACTTAATATAAACAAACTTCATAAGGATCACAGCGTAGAAATGCAAAATGGACGTAAATTGCGAATCCAACAAAAAACAGCAGAACACCATAAGCCAACATAATTGGGATGTTTAATATATAAGAAATCTTGGCGTCTCTCATTGTCACAATCTTTGGATGGTTGATTGGTTGAATGTAGTACCAAGCCTAAAGGATGTACACGATTGACGTGTGTTAAGTCAAATTAAAGAGAAATTGAGAAGAAAAACTGTAACTCAAACACCTCACAACAAGACGTTTCTATGGTGTTTGTTTATTATTATATGAAAATAAAGAATCAGCTTTTGTACACTATAAATGAATAACAGTTGCCTGAAAATAAATTAATACGAACTTCGTACAGCGCCTGTTGTATTCTATAATATACTAGCCGACCCGCGGCGTATCATACGCCGCTATTTAGTTGTTGTTTTTTCTACTTTTACAGTAATTCATAATTTGTGAATTTGACAGTACCAATGCTGCCACTGAAAATATTTGCTAACGCTATCAGTAGCTCGTTAAGGACGATACCCACCCACACCCCACCCTCCTTTCGCCCAAACCCTACCCAGCTTGTTTTCTAACGTCTCAAAGAAGAGGATTATATATATAGATAATGTATCCATGCACTTTTTTTTATAAACAAAAACCTTACCACAAGAATGTAGCCCCAACAGTGGCGCCCCACCATGTATGTCTCACCCTTGGATCAAAGTCGTAAACGTCAAATGAAACTCTTCCACCTTTCACAGCTAGTGGCCACGCCTCTGACCATCCTCCAGCAGTTTTTATACCTGATAAATATAACGATAATTTAAAGTGAACAAATTAACAGCTTAACTAACTGCAATAAAAAATAGATAAAGATATAGGCCTACTAAAAATAGGAAAAAGACATACCTACGATAATAATAGGAAGAGCCCCACCAAACATGACAAAACATTGAAAAGCGTCCGCCCAGACAACGCTCTTGATACCACCCAGAGCTGAGTACACGGTGCCGAATAATGCCAACAATAACAATAGACATCCATAATGGGATGTTTGCTGTTGTCTAGAACAATTCGGGCTAAATTTAATCCTTCCACTAAATAAGATCCTGTGCCATTAAAGCTAAATATATATGATTTTAATTACTTGACTTTTTAAAAAATTAATATTGCTAGATTATTAATAAATTATAAAATTTGATGATTAGAATAAAACTGACCTGTAGCCCTAGAGCTGGACTGTAGAGAGCTACAGCCATGTAGCAGATGGTCTGTAACATACCAACGGTCAGTGCTGATATCCTCACTGCACGTGAGTGGAACCTCAACTCGAAGTACTGATAGATACTTGTCAGTTGTAGGGAATAGAACAGTGGCACAATGGCGAACAGACTAATAACATAGCTGATTGAGTAGCCTCCATATAGGGTGATAACCATTACGCTATAACTGTAAATATCTGCGGGATTTCCCATCAAGGCAATGGCAGACTGGAATTAATTATATAAGGGGAATAAAAGATGTATGATTTCTTGAGATATCTATAAATAACATTTTATAAATAATAATATTTATCGCTTCTGTAAAATGGTTGATCTTTTTCAATGAGCAATCCATGAAAAACTTTGTGTAAAGAAAGAATAATCCTTAATCGTAGTTAATAATGTTTTTACGTTTCGTATTCCTTAAAAATTAAGTATTCCTTTACTAATGTTTAGGAATGTTTCTTTATAGTTATTTAAATAGTAGTCTATAATTTATTTTCTACTTCTTAGTGCATTAGTACATAAAAGCTTGTTATCAAAACGTTTTTTATGAAAAAATTTTAGTACTTTACATGTTTTTATTTACAATAGAGTTACATGACTAAAAACCGTCGCGCACCTATTGAACGAGATGACGCGCTTTTGCCGTGATTACGCGTGCGGATAGAACTGCCTGCTAATTTGGTCCAAATTTTAATTAATTCATATAAAATTAATCAGGCGACCAATTAAGTCAAATTTAATGTCACGATGCATTGTCTTCATGTCTTGGCCCACGTACCAATTATGAACCGTATCTGTCTGTTAGAAGTGTCTGTAATTTCCGGCGTTTCGATCGAGACTGACGACAGAGGAAGTCAGTTAAATAAAAGCTTGTAATAAAAGCTTGTAAAAAGTAGAAAATAAATTATATACTACTATTTAAATAACTATAAAGAAAAGCGTGGGTCACTTTAGTACCTTTTTGATACCTTTACTAATATTTGAGAAGAGATCCACGCTTTTCTTTATAATTATTTAAATAGTAGTCTATAATTTATTTTCTACTTTTTAGTGCATTATTACATAAAAGCTTGTTATTAAAACGTTTTTTATGAATTATTTTTCAGTACTTTACATGTTTTATTTACAATAGTTTTACATGACTAAAAACCATTGCGCGCCTAGTGAACGAGAAGACGCGTTCTTGAACGTGATGACGCGTGTGGAGTAGTTGGATAGAACTGCCTTCTAATTTGAACTAATTTTTAATTAATTAATAAAAAATTAATCAGGCTACCAATTTAGTCTAATTGAATGTCATGATGCATTGTCTTCATGTCTTGACCCATGTACCAACTACGAACCGTATCTGTCAAGAAGATGTGCCTGCAATATCGCTCCGGCGTTTCGATCTAGACAGACAGACAGACAGACTGACGACAAACTAACTAGGAAGTGAGTTAAATAAAAGCTTGTAAAAACAAATCCATTTTTTTCTGATAGTACACATACGTTTATGTAATTTTAAGTCTTGGAGTAAGTTTAATGGTTGCCAAAAGTAACTATGAACACTATTAATTTTGTAAAAAAAACGTCTTTGACTTACAAATAGTGAACCAAATCACAATTTACAATTAGAATATCGAAGAAGAACTTACAATGAACGTGACGAAAAGTGACAAAGCCACCGGCACCACAGACATCCGTCTTCCTCCAAACAAATATTCCTCTCTGGTCGCCTTTTTCGCGTCTTTAACAGCGAACAAAATCCCGATGGCCATAGGAATCAACAAGACAACAACACATACAACATAGTCGGCCATTTGGATGCTGGTCTCTACGTCCATCTTTATGCTGTGTCTATTGCTGTGTCAAATACTTTACACCTGTTGTTAGTAAAATTGGGTTTTTAGCAACATTTGTGTAGACAAAAACAAAGCCGCTAATTAACTAATTATAAAGTTCATTTTAAGCTTATATTCAAGCGAGAATTTTAATAATAAAACTTCATATTGGCTTACAAAATCATTACAGAAATAGTTTAGATAAAATATTATTAATCCCAAATAAAAATAATTAATTGAAGTTAATGTTTTACCAAAAGACTTCCTAACCTAAACTTTCTAACTGTTGTCAAAATGCTGTTTTGATTTTTTTTTTAGATAAAAAATGTTCTAGGTGAATATATTTTTAAAATTCAAAACGAAACAAAATTAATTTTATGCTAATTCTACACGCATAAACGTTTTAAAAGAGAATCCCCTTTTTATGTATTTTAGTATTATACGCCATAAATAAACAATAGCTTTTTATATATTATCCATAATGCAATTACTTTTTAGATCAAATTATCGCATGTAATGAGACTAAACAAATCTAAAATAAAGCGTTAGTTATCTTCCCTAAACTTTCTCATTAGTTTTTATGTAACCGGAAGGGGTGGGTGACTCTTTTATTACAAGCTTTTATTTAACTTGCTGCCTCTGTTTATCAGTCTGGATCAAAACGGGTGAGCGAAATTTCGAGCACTTCTAACTGATCGATTTCTCTGAAATTCGGCACGTGGGTCTAGACGCAATAACAATGAAATCTGACATCAAATTTGACTTAATTGGATGACAAATTAATATTTTAATAATGAAATAGTATTTTCTGAAATTGGAATAGAATCACGTAGAAAAAAGAATTGCGCACCAAATAAGCAGCAAATAATATGTGTATAATTCTTCGGTACATTGGTACTTTACAAAGAAACACACAGGAATCAAATTAGAAAAATAAATTCATATGCGGTTGTTTTTTTTTTTTTTTTTTTTTGAGAAATTGAAAATAGGATATTGTTCTGCTTCCGGTCTTCGGGAATTACTCAAAATTTGTCAGAAACCGAGAGTTAGATCTTCTACATATATTACAATTTCTTTTATATAACTGAAAAGTACTTAGCCTTTTGAAAAAACGAAAGTAGAACAAGCTCCACTTCCGGTAACCGGAAAATTCAAATATGTTAAAACAAATTTTATATAATAATCTATATATTCAATGTATGTTTGTGCGCATGTGTGTTTGTGTGTTTTTTATGCATTACTACACCTTTCATCCGATCGATATAAACCTGGAAAGTTGTTGAGGATACACGTGGGGAGGTTTCTACGGAACAGTTTTTTTTTCAAATGTGCAGGGTGGTGGCGCCACGGCAGGGCGCGATTTGTTTTTTCTGTAAATACGTTATATAAAAATAAAATTCGATTGTGGTTTGACACTGTTCATCAGATCGCCATCAAACTTTGGGGAAATGATTATAACACTGCAGGGAATAGTTTTGCAAAAAAAAAACTTTTAATTTTCGCAAAGGTGGTGCCACGGGAGGGTGCGATTTTTCTCTATATACGGTATTTAAAAATAAAAGTCGATTGCGTTTTGACACCGTTCATCAGATCGCCATCAAACTTTTGGGAGTTGATTAGAACACTCCAGGTGAGGTTTCTGTAAAAGAAACTATTTTAATTTCGCAAGGGCGGCACCCTGGGAGAATGTGATTTATTTCTATATATGATAAATTTAAAAAAAAAATGAAAATCTGATGCGGTTCGACACCCTTTATCAGAGTGCTATAAAACTTTTGGGAGTTGATAAATACTCCCGAGATGGTTTCTTGGGGGGAGGGATTAATTTCGCCTCCGGCAGCATGCAATTTGACGCCCTGGTCTATCCCGTTAACGATATGGCGACTACGTTCGTTCAAAACAGTGTGATAGATTATGGATTAGATCGTGCGTCAAAGCCGCACACTAAATTAAATCCGTCGTGTCCGCCAACGCCATGGTAGGTAGCGATTTGGCTGCGAACAAATAATTGAGTTTCTGCCCCCAAAGATCACATGGGCCGCTGAGGGCCCTGTAATACATTTTTTTTAATAATCACATAAATTAACCAAGGTTAGATTATTAACTGGTTTGTTTCCTTTTGTCTGTAAAAAAAATCCAGTTTCGTCAATTTGATAATGGTGTAATTAGCATCTATCTTTAGACGATCCAATTCGAAATTGAGATCGAGCTTCTAATATTAGAAATGCTAACAAATTGTGTAAGTCAGACTGATGTTTTTAACATGTTTTTGTACGTTAAAGAAAAAAACCTTGTTTATTTGTGTAACTTTAGTAAATGACGCAATCTGCATCATTGTTTCAGGATGCTGTTTGGCGCTACTGGGTTATTCCTTTAGCACTATGGCGTCAATGTTAGTTTTAATGAGCCAGGGGTCGTACGCGTCCCCTCTGCAGTACTGTAATCGGGGGGGGGGGGCTCCCGATAGCGCCCTCTACGTTCCAGATACATGGGCGGTCTCCGAAGTGTGTTCTACCTCATTATTTCGGTGAGTGATTAACGTACACCCAATTATTTAATGCGGTAATGTAGGTAAACCCGAGTTCCAATACTTATGATCCAAGTGCAGGCATTGTTTACATTTAAATAACTCAGTTTTAGAAAACAAGGTCACGTGTTTAAGAATATAGGATTGATAACGCATTGATGAAACCCTTCTTATATATCCCGTCAGACTTTCTTCTATCCCCGCGGCAACGCGCGGGGACGGGTACGCTAGTTATATGTGAAATTTATGTCAACCTAGCTGTAACGGTACTCAAGTTATCGTGTTTACTGACAGACAGACACACAGACAGCCATACGGACAGAATTGCAAAGTCCAGTTTTGCCGACTCTATGACTCGTAAAACGCTGTGATTTTGATAAATCTGGATGTAGAATTTTTGCATGTGTAAATTCCTCTAAACTCTCAATATAGGATGAAGTACCAGGATTGTAAAACGGTGAAAACTGTCAAAATTTAATGTAGTTTTTTGTACACGATCACAATACTTTCTTTTTTACTCTGCATACGAGAAAGTAATAAACCGGGAGTGATCTCCCCTTAACTTTCTCGAATATTCTAATATAAAATTACGAGGGATGGCAACTCAGGACATAGACAATATTTGTTATCCATTTTTAATTACTTAAACTTTTTATAATAGAATAGAATCTCGTAAAAAAAGAATTGCACACCAAGTGAAAAGTTTCCCTTTCAAACCTGACGGTCTATGGGGCAAGTGAAGTAGAGTTCACTTGTTTCTGTGACCTCGGCATATGAAGAGATAGTGTGGTCAGCACTATGCCCAGTCGCCTTTACTTTCCCTAACAGGAGTTAGGTACCCATCAGAGTTGGGTGGACACAGGGACGGTCTACTGACTTGAACTCGGATTCGAACTCGAGACTAATGGGTTAGTAGTCCAGCTCTCCAGAGGCGTAGCTAGGGGAGGGCGGGTGGGGCGGCAGCCCCGGGCGCCGAACCTAATGGGGCGCCAAACTGGGCAAAAGTAATAATTAAAAACTTAATTCTGAGCTCAATTACTGAATTATACACGGTTGAATTTAACAAAATAGACTACTGCTTTGCTGTCCTGACTGACATAACTGTTTTCAATTTTGTTACATTGCAATGTGGTTCAAATTTGATAGTTCGCCCCGGGCGCCGGAATGAGTCGCTACGTCCCTGCAGCTCTCTACCGCTAGACCACTCCGTCCCACACCAAGTGAAAGCCTAATAAAATGTGTATAAAAGTGCGGGATATTATTAGTACTTTATAAATTTACATGCGTTTTTTTGAGAAATCGGAAATAGCGTAAATTAGTACTTCCGGTCAACGGAAATTACTCAAAATTTGACAGAAGGTAGAGAATTAGATCTTTTACTTACGTGTGAAATTTCATGCATCTATCTAAAATAGTACGCAAGTTATAGGCTTTTGAAAAATTCAAAGTAGAAAAAGTACCACTTCCAGTTATCGGAAATCGCTCAAAAGTTGATCAGGATCTACGATTTTGATAAAATACTTATATATGAAATTTCATCAACCTAGCTGTAACGGTACTCAAGTTATCGTGTTTACACACAGACAGACACACAGACACACAGACATACGGACAGAATTGCAAAGTTTAGTTTTAACGACTCGATAACGCATAAAACGCCAAAACGTTTATATATTTGTATTTATAATTTTTGCCTGATTAAAATAAGTCCTCTATACTCCGGATGTGATGAAGGACTGAGGAGTAAAACGGTGAAAACTGTCAAAATTTCATGTTAGTTTTGTGCACGATTACAATACTTTCTCTATACTTCGTATATACGAGAAAGTAAAAATGATTGACATAGACCCATAAAATAATGTTTAAAGATGTTTAGGCTTCGATAGTGAGAGACGTAGAGAAAATATTTAATATGAGGGCACTCCTGGTACCGACCCTGATACGGACACACCAACATAAACGTTTGAGGTTAAATTCAGTTTAGTTTACGATCTATTTATCTGTTATTATTCACAACAAAGCTACCTCTCACTTCCAACCGTGACTTCTATCTCCCGTTTACATTAATTGCTACACACCTCTTTCTCGCTTACAAAATACTCGATATCACTCGACCAGTCACTTCCTTTGTTTACTTCGTACAACAACATACACGTCAACAACCCCGGCCTCGCGCAATGGTACCGTATACACACACACACACACACACACACACACACACACACACTCGTCACGTACATACCTTTCACACACAACACATCTTCACACTCAACGCGTCGAAAGAACATGGTAATTAATTATTTAATTAATTATATAGTTAATTCAACAACCAACTACACTAGCAGAAATATTCACATGATCGTGTGCAGAAATTGGAATATTCACAACAACAACTACACTGAGAGATATATTGATATAAAAAATTCAAAATATTCACGTCAACAAGCGCTCTAACCAAAATATTCACATCAACACA